TACCTTTTCGATAGTAAAAAAGTAAAATATGCCGAAAATGCCGCTTTTCACTTTCCATATTTGAAAGGGTACCAACCAAAAACTACTGCGTAGAATCAATCAAACTTTTTCACAAGCAAGCCTTGCTAGATCAGTTGTCAAAATATATAATGATTATGCGGCTTAAGTGTGAAGTTGGCCGTGAAAAAAAAAAAAAAAATTAATAAAAATAAAGTCCTCCGTTGGGAAACAACGAAATTACTTTCCGAACAACCCAATACATCGCATTATCTGGCAAAACTCGCGTCCGATGAGGACAGGTGCGAAGTTTCCCAAAATCGGTCGATCAGTAATCATATCAGTTAATTTCGAGGATCCGAGTACTCTGCCTTTGTACAAACGAGCCCAATTTCTTTTCCCCGAAACTTTATTTCGGGGAACGTTATCGCGTAACCGAGAAAACACATTGCGTCACCTTACACGCCGTTGAAATTCCTGTTTTTGAGATTTACCGGTCCACCTCCCAAATATTCCGCTAAAAGGTAAAGAGAAACCGCCACGCGTTGAGGGATCGAATCGTGGAAATTGGTATCGCGTTTGAAAACCAGCGGGAACTTCTGTAGCCCCCTCACGGTGTACGTACATAAGCGGACACGAGATTTCTGTAGGGTTACGTGGCGACGTACACGTGGCAAGCGGCCATTCGTTTCTCCGTGCTCGGATCGCGTGATAGGCGTCGCCGAGGCTGCCATCGCAAATGATGTAAAAGGGTTTCGATCGCGTCAGCCGGTATCAAACGTTGCACCGCCCGCTGAATTTATTCTTGGAGCGTTTATTTCTCATTTTCAATTCCGGTTCCCAGGAGAAAGAAACGCACGCGTATATAAGGGCTGTCCGCGTGTGCGGTTAGAATAGATTTCGCTCCATTCGGGTCAACTTTCGAATGGCTGCAGCGCTCACTTTTATGAACGTTGGTGCCGGCACGGTGTAGTGATTCGGAAGCGTTGCTCCTTGCCACTAGGGATATTTGCTAATCGCGTTTAAGGTGAAGTGAAACACGTCGAGGAACTTGATCAACGTCGATAAAGACGATTTTCCTAAATGCCTACGTTGCCGACGTTCGTTTTTATATCGACAGCTGTGTCGAATTATATTGTGTATTGTACCAAATGGCATATTCCACCTGTCGTTTTGGTATAATAATTATGAAGAAATCGAAGTAAAACTCCAGAAATCCTCTGGGTTCATGCCTTCTGGGCCCTAATTGACTGCGGAGGGACCCCCTGCGCCATCTGTGATTTCCAGGTTAATTAAATTTTTACTCCGAGTCCTCGTATTGCCATCGTTTTAGCAAAGAAGCGCATACAACTCTTTTTTTGCCTTTATCCCGTTCAAATGCAAGTTTATAGATTACCAGAGGGTTCTAAATTGTCGTAAAATTGTCCTGACCCTTTCGATTCTCATATCAGAGCCTTCGATAATTGTATATTGATCGAAATATGAGAGCTCGACGCCATTTTGGTTCTGGTCTGGGCTGAGTTAAAAAATTTGTTTGAAATATCCAAATTTTGAATGTGTCAGGACAATTCTTAGATGATCAGGAGTGATGTCAAAGTTTTGGACAGTTTGGCCTAATACCCTTGAGAAAAAGTATTGTATTCGAATCGACTGATTTGAAGGATGTTTCACTTCACCTTAACGCTTATCGAATGGATATATTAGTACCGGTTAAAAGAAAAGAAGATAAGGATATATCAAAAGCTACAAAGGAGAGAGGGAAGGTAATCCTTTGAGAAGGAATAACGTCCTTGGGCTTTCCGTTGACCGCGACATCTATTTCCGACGAGATGAATCGCCGGATCGCTAAAGTACTTCTCGCGTCTACGGCTCTGATGAATTCGGCTAATCGCCTGTTTGCATTGGCTTTCGGAACCGTTTTTAAGGCGTACGTCCGACACGTGGCACCATTTCTCGGGCGCAGGTAAATTTATGACGTTGGTCCTTATTTATATTTCTGTATTTGAGCCCGTAATTGTGAAAGTGGTCCAAGTCGTGTATCTCTTGTTTCGAGATATTTAAAGGATTACAGTTGAATAAATGAAAAAATATATCTATATCATGTTACATTTTAATTTAGGATTTCATTAGTCTCGATTAATGAAAATTTATTATTAATGTGTCATTTTTGGTGAGTCTTATACGAAAATGTCGTTTTTAAGGTTTGAATTGACTTAGACCATTTTCAAAATTAACCGAATGACCTATAAATGACTTAATAAAAAACTACTAATTTTATTAAAAACCAAAATTTTAATGAAATGATTCATTTATATTTATTCATTGTTTTTAAATGTAATCCATTTTTATCATTTTAGACTTTTATCGTTATGAGTTTTAAGATTTCTTAAATGTCCTGAAAAACTGGAGGGATGTAGGGTAGTAAACATATCGTATCTTTATGTTTTTCTTCCGTTACTGGTATATTGGTGGTGTATAATGGAAGTAAGTTAATATTTCCATATATTTTTGGTCTTCCTCTTTTAAGTGAAAGATCCACAATGTTGAATTCCGAATTATCTAAAGAAGTTTTATGGAACATCTTATAAGGTGCATTTTTCAAGAATCTCATTTTTACTGTTTTTATCGTTGACTCCTCCTAACACAATGTAACGGTTCATTTTCCGCAAATTCACAAGAGTGAATTTACGTATTTAGTTAAACAAAATGTGTTGCCATCGTTATCATTATCGGCTGATTTGTAATAACTGATAAACTCATTTTTTTTTTTTAATATTTTTGACTTAGACCACTTTCATAATTAACATTAAATGAATTCCATGTAATGTTGAAATAACAAGCGCTACCTAACGGCTAATTTTTGTCAATATCGTAAGAATTAGATTGAATTAATTTAGTTTGAAGTAATGCGATGTGAAATAACTGATAAACTCATACATAACCTAAAACAATTTTTTTTTTTTTTTAATTTGGACTTAAACCACTTTCATAATTATGGGCTCATGTAGTTTCTTTTTAATTATCTCTCTGCGGAGAATTAAATTTCAATGCACTTTTCGTTGGGTTTCTAGGGTGGACGACCTGTACAGGTTCATTCAAGCTTGGGTTCCTGCCTTGTATGGCGAATTCGACGAGAACTTATGGCGCGAGCGAGGATACATTTTCTCGGACTCCGAGTCTCCGGATATGTCGCCCCATGACGGTGAACCCAGTGAACTCGCCGAAGAGGGTAAAACAGGACTCCGTGATGGGGACGACATCTCCCAATTGACCCGCGGATCCTGGGAGGTAAGTCGTTTTCTCATATACGATTTTGCATTCATCGAGATTAATAATCGCTCACTATTTCCTGTCATAACGAGGTATAAAAACATAGACGGCTCAGCTTATTGGATCGCAGCATAATATTGTCTGAAAATAAAACGTTGGAACTGCATTTTGTATCAGGAAGAAATCAATAACGATTTCTGGAATAACCTGCGTTAATTGGAACAGTCGTGGTACTACTTGATGTATATAAAGCTGGAATTGCCACTTTAGCACAATTCAATCAAATTTGTTGAAAAATTAATTGCTATTTTATTGCACAAGAAAGAAATTTTTTGCTTTTATACTTTTCCGAAAAATGGTGGCGATGTCACCTTTATATAAAGCTAGCACTGCCACAATAAAAAATAATTATTAAGTAAACGTTCATCGATGAATTATATACCGGAATTTATTGCTAATTAATTGCTCGCAGAAAAACCAAATTTCTATTTTTTTTTGCTCACCCCTAAAGGGGTGAATCACAACCCCTAGGGACGATCGCAGGACAGAAACATGAAAAACATGGGAGAATCGAACTATTTCTTCACGTGGAAATTAATTGCTAATTAATTGCTCCGAGCAGAACCTAATTTTTTGCACAACCCCTAAGGTGGTAGGCCAACCCTTCTTATGTCGCTCCAGCATGGCCACGTAAGAAATGGGAGAAACGAACTATTTCCTCGCGTGGGAATTAATTGCTAATTAATGTAGGTTTGAAAATTGTATCTTTACGAAGATATTGGTTCTTCTCGGAGCAATTAATTAGCAATTAATTTCCACGCGAAGAAATAGTTCGATTTTCCCATGTTTTTCATGTTTCTGTACAGCGATCAGCACTAGGGGTGGAGATTCACCCCTTTAGGGGTGAGCAAAAAAATTGAAATTTGGTTTTTCTGCGAGCAATTAATTAACAATAAATTCTGGTATATAATTCATCGATGAACATTTATTTAATAATTGTTTTTTATTGTGGCAGTGGTAGCTTTATATAAAGCTGACGTCGCCACCATTTTTCGGGAAAAGTATAAGAGGAAAAAATTTCTTTCTTGTGCATTAAAATAGCAATAAATTAGCAATAAATTTTGCAACAAATTTTATTGAATTGTGCTAAAGTGGCAATTCCAGCTTTATATACCCTATTGCTTGAATGGGTTAGGGCAAAAGGGGTATAAGTTCCAGATATTATTGGTCGTATTAAGCCCTTCATTGAATAATTCCAGTAACCGTGACTCTTTGTCACAATAAATATAATATACAAAATCATATCGTTCCAACGTTAATCGACAACGACATTCGGAACTTGGATAATTTCCGACAATTTCCTTCATTCGAAACGTCGGTAAAAGTTACAAAGACGTTGTTGCTTTGAATATAGAAAAGTTATTATGCCTTCTTATTCTTATACAGTAAAAATGGTGCGATCAGAAAATAAATTGAAACTGAGCGATGAAATAAAAGCAAGAGCGTTCGATCATTTTACGCCTCGTTACTCTGGTCGTTTTGTAATAGGTTTATCGTTTTATTTTCTCTGAAAAATTATGTATACCGACTCGGTCGTCATTTGTCATTTGAAAACGACGAGCGATGCACTCACGACTTCAGGCCGTCGAGGTATCGTTTTATATCGCTTCCGACATTCGTCGCGACTCGGAATCTCAAGTTCTCCTTTATCCCAACTTAACCTTGCTTCGGGTGAAAATAAACGTCACCAAGCGCGACCTTTCTACCTCTCGGTGCGCTTCGCATTGTCGTTGCCAGTTTGCCTTAACACTTTAACGACCGCTCATACAACATGTGTGTGATAGCCGGAACAACCGTTAACGACCGCTCACACAACATGTGTGTGAATTGTTGCTGTTTTTTGTTTTATGTTAACTTTTTCGTGAATTCAATAAAGTCCGTTAAAATTAATTCTTCAAAAATACTGCCGGCCCTTGGTGACGTTTGAATGCGTAGACGGGCGGTCGTTAAAGTGTTAACGGCGTTCACCACCAAAGTGGGGACGATGACTTCCACCGCTAGATGGCATTAGCATCGAATTCGGTGGGAGGTAACCAAAACGTACTTTCTCGCTCGGATGAGGGAGACGCGACGCACAATGGGCGATGTTTAGCAACGGGCGAAAAATGTGTGCTCATTTTGCACGTATAGGACTCACACAACGGCTAGACGCCTCTGGACTAGAGTTCGAAAATTCTCGGTAACATTAAATTGCAGAATGTAACTGTGAAACATACCGTAAGTTACCGGGAACATTGAGAATTTAAGAGAACGTTAATTTTGTTATTTATACTTTAGGTTTCTTCGTTTAGATAACTTTTTTTCTTTGCAATCAACTTCAAAGTTCAACCTAAAGAGTAATAATTACTATTAGAAAATATTGATTATAGGGTCGTATTTACCTCCAGCTAAAAATATTCACGTATGTACAACTTCACGGAAAATTCCATGCGATTTGTTTCAAACGAACTGATATTTCATTCTGCGACGAAGCGAATGGGAGGTTTTCATTGCCTACGGAGAACGTAAAACGGAAGTTCCCCTCTACGATGTTTCTCTATAGCTAATCGAAACCTCTCGTTCGCTCTGTTGAAAAATTCAAATTCTCATAATTTCTCGATAAAAAAGGCTTAGGAGAAATGACCGATAAATTACCAGGAATTTCTCTTCGTTTCTGACGTAACTTACTGGATTTAGAACTCTACTCTGGACTAGGCGCCGAAACGTGGGTGACCCCCGGCCGCCCGTACACGCCAGATGGACGCTCCGCCTACAGTCGGCAACGGTTGCTAAGGAATGCCCAAATTCCTCGCGAGAAACTTGAAAATCCTGAAAAAGGTGCTCCACGGGGACAACGATTTTGAGCGTATTTCTCAACCGATTGAGCTCAACGAGTGCTCGTTTTAAAGATATAATGTTGACGTGTGTTTATATGGAAGCGATTTTCGATCGAGCACCTCCTTCCTAGTTAAAAAGGCATTGAAATTATGTCGTTGCACTTTTTTATATGAAAATGACCACTTATCGAAAATCGCTCCCATATAAAACGTTTCATCTTCGATATGAGCATTCGTTAAGCTCGATCGGTTTAGAAACACGTTCGGAATCGTTGTCCCCGTGAGGCCCTGCAAAATCGCTAGAGTGGTGAGCGCCCTTAACGGCGTTCACCACCAAAGTGGGGACGATGACTCCCACCGCTAGATGGTATTAGCATCGAATTCGATGGGAGGTAACCAAAACGTACTTTCTNTTGCAGATATAAAAAAACACGTGTCTCTTAGATTTTTGTGTTCTTCAACATATATGAAAATCAATAAGATCGGGGGCGGACACTTGGGAATGTTCCCTTGTTAGAATTCAGTAACATCGGTGGGTAGTACTAATCTCGGTGACGGTAGAACCATCGAAGAATTATTGAAGACATGGGAAAGTATTCTACAGACAACAGACCGTGCAAACGTCTACAATGACGACTATTATTGTCGTTCCGTTCAATTCAGCCGTAGGGTGTAAACCATTGCGAAAACACATTCCAGAGAACGACTCGAATTTGCATCCATGATACCGTCCTTGGGTCTCATCTATAACGCGCGTAACTTTTATCGTGTTCCTATTTGGTGCAGCGGGAGTTTGTAAACCGTGATGACGACACGTTCCAGCAAGCGACTTAAATTTGCATACGCGGTATCTTTCTTGTGCCGTCATAGCCAAATATTGGGTTGTTCGGAAAGTAATTTCGTTTTTTTTTTTATGAAAATAAAAGACGATTTTTTTATAGCNGATATGAGCACTCGTTAAGCTCGATCGGTTTAGAAATACGTTCGGAATCGTTGTCCCCGTGAGGCCCTGTAAAATCGCTGGAGTGGTGAACGCCCTTAACCTTAGACGCCTGAATTTTCCAGAGGTGACGTTTGTTTTCTCGCGTTTCGCCATTTCGGTATATTACTCTTCCGGCATTTCTCCCGATCAATCGTTATTGCGACCGTAACGATTTCAATCTTGGTTGTGCGATTTTCTAAATGAAATGTTAATTACACCTCGAAATCTATGCGACCGGTGCTACCAATTTGGAAGAAAACTCGATTTGAAGTTGTATTTGAAAAAATAACATTTAGGAGTACCTGTACCTATAAAAGTTGCAACGATTAATTAGAAAGCAGAGAACGTAATAATGCTTTTCGACTCGTCACATTGGAATACTTTGAAAGCGGAAAAATTATTGTTCAATTGCTTCTCTGATTAACCAACTCGGCGAAAGATTTGAAATAAATCTTACAAGGCCATACCAACCGCTTGCAATCAACGGTCACTTTCAGTATGGAATTATAAAGTTATGCAATTATCGTAACTATCCGTCTATACATAGAAATGCACAGTTCCTTTATCGCCGGGTATTATTATAGATATCCGTTGTATCGTCAAGGCTACTGCAACGAGACATATAATTTAAGCAAAGCATACTTTTTATTAAATAAAGCATTAAGACTGCTAGAATTTACATTATATATTAATTTAAACCACAACGATGTGAATGAAATTAGAATTTCGTATTGCTTTTAGCACGTCCTAAAAAGGTTCTAATCAAATTTTAATGAATTAGAACGTTTACTTCAAATAATATTAATTTCCATAAGAATTCTTGAAACACCAAAAGAGCTCAAATTTGATCGTTTTCTCGAGGTACCATTGTCGCGCAACCAAGACCTCGGAGTGTCCCGCAAAGTTGACTTGTCGCGCCGATCCTCGTAGTCTTCCTACGGAACCAACCGAGAGCTCCGGCCGCATTAATTTCCGCATGCGGAATTCCGAAATCGTGTAGGAGTGGTCCTCCTTGAATTGTAAATCTCCGACACCGCGCCGGATCGCTCAGCGGCGCAAAAACTAGAACCGTAGTCCAAATCCCCAGAGGACGATCCGATTCGATCGAAAAGATTACCCCAATTTGATAAGTCCAGCCAGGAAATTCCGCGCATTTGGTCTCGATTCATCTGTCGGACGACGCGATTCGGGCGAGAGATCTTGACGGCATAAAATCGAGGATCGGCGCGCCGTTGCGTCCCTGTTTAAAAAGAGGAATTCCACTTGTTGACATTGGGGTACGTCTTCGCGTATACAGCTGATCAAGGCTCCGTACGTAAAGCTCTACAGCATCCTGACGACGACGAGCATCTCCGGCGACTCCGAGCAGCCCCAGGACCCCGAGGTACCCCTAAGTTCACTCTTGACAGGCACCCAAATTATACGGTGACAACCTAACAACTCGCCCGTGACACCCACTTGATATATATATATATATACATGTGTATATACTGGCACATCCTCTGCTCGCCCCCACTACTACCGTCCTACCACTACTATTGTTAACCCTACTATTCTCACCACTGCCGCCGCTCCCACGCAATTAAATGTCTGAATGGCTTATCTATAACTGACCTACGTCACTCCCGCCGCCTTGATTACGTTTTATGGCGGCAAAGAGAGGCGGAATCGCTCCTGGAACGATTGCTCTCGGCTGACGTGCGAATTTGGAAAGGTATCTCCCCACGGTGAAAGAGACGTCCTCAAAGGCCGAGCTCTAACCTGTTGGCGAGGGCACTCGTTTAAGGTGAAGTGAAACACGTCGAGGAACTTGGTCGACGTCGATAAAGAAGATTTTTCTAAATGCCTACGTTGCCGACGTTCGTTTTTATATTGACAGCTGGATCGAATTGTATTGGGTATTGTATCGAATGGCATACTACACCTGTCGTTTTCGTATAATAAATATCAAGAAGTAGAAGTAAAACTCTAGAAATCCTCTGGATTCAAGCTTTCTGGGGCCCTAATTGACTGCAGAGGGACACCCTATGCCATCTGTGATTTCTAGGTGAATTAAATTTTCACTCCGAGACCTCGTATTCCCATCGTTTTAGCAAAGAAGCGCATACAACACTTTTTTTGCCTTTATCCCGTTCAAATGCGAGTTTATCGATTACCAGAGTTTTCTAAATTGTCGTAAAATTGTCCTGATCCTTTCGATTCTCATATCAGAGCCTTCGATAATTGTATATTGATTGAAATATGAGAGCTCGACGCCATTTTGGTTCTGATCTGGGCTGAGTTATAAAATTTTGTTAAAAAATCCAAATTTTGAATGTGTCAGGACAATTCTTAGATGATCAGGAGCGATGTGTCAAAGTTTCGGACAGTTTGGTCTAATACCTTAAGGTGAAGTGAAACACCCTTCAAATCAGTCGATTCGAATACAACACTTTTTTTTAAGAGTATTAGACCACTGTCCGAAACTTTGACACATCACTCCTGATCGTCTAAGAATTGTCCTGACACATTCAAAATTTGGATTTTTCAAAACAATTTTTTTTACTCAGCTTAGACCAGAATCAAAATGGCGTCGAGCTCTGATATTTCGATCAATATACAATTATCGAAGGCTCCGATATTGAGAATCGAAAGGGTCAGGACAATTTTACGACAATTTAGAACACTCTGGTAATCGATAAACTCGCATTTGAACGGGATAAAGGCAAAAAAAGTGTTGTATGCGCTTCTATGCTAAAACGATGGGAATACGAGGTCTCGGAGTGAAAATTTAATTGACCTGGAAATCACAGATGGCGCAGGGGGTCCCTCTGCAGTCAATTAGGGCCCCAGAAAGCATGAATCCAGAGGATTTCTGGAGTTTTACTTCGATTTCTTTATAATTATTGTACGAAAACGACAGGTGGAATATGCCATTTGGTACAATACCCAATATAATTGGACCCAGCTGTCGATATAAAAACAAACGTCGGCAACGTAGGCATTTAGAAAAATCTTCTCTATCGACGTCGATCAAGTTCCTCGACGAGTTTCACTTCACCTTAACGCCTCGAATATGCCTCTCGAACCGAACTTTCAACGTGTACGCGAGTGTGGGCAAGTGGCCTCGCTTTTGCGATACCACTCGGTCAAATGACCTCTCTTTTCGCGCTCCTTTGACCGTTTAATGTCGCTCTCCAAAGCCCTTTCATGGGCGTCCCGGGTCCTCAAAGACCAAAAAACTCATTTCTCTACGTAAACATTTCACGCGTTTAGCGATGGCAATTCGTAGCGTGTAATTCAAGTCCCCGTTTTTGGGAAAGGTCTTGGCACGTTTCGTGAAATTTCATCTGCCGTGTCATTCGAATGAAAATTTTCTTCCGACTTTCTTCTGGAACGGGTATCATTTGGAATTATATACAGATCTTTGGGGGGGAGATACGTCTTTGAAGACTAATCCTGTTGTCGAAAAAGAGTAAAAGGACTCCGGAATTCTAGAAAATGTAATATCACGAGAGATCGATGGTTCTTCCTAAATAGGTATACGCGAGAAATCTGCGATATTTCGAACATGGGCTCTTAGGGAACTCAAATATGCAAAAAACGAAAGATTGTGCTATTCTCAACGTAATGAATATGTCCTTTTCAAAGTTGCACGTCGCATTTATTCATGCATTTACGAAAGCAATTGGAGGTACAGGCAGAAAAAGTTTTTTAATTTTAATCTTTAGGCTAAAGTATTAGGCTAGTTCGTAATTTATTATCTTTTTATTGTCCTCTAGAGAGAATCAATCCATTTGATTTTTAATTTTTGTAGCTCACAATATATTTGCAGCATATTCCAGTTACAATATGATTTGTTTGTAGAATAATCACGTCACAATCGCCAGTTGCTACAATGAAATCGCTTTATTTGGACCAGAAAGCACGAATCCAGAGGATTTCTGGAGTTTTACTTCGATTTCTTGATATTTATTGTATGAAAACGACAGGTGGAGTATGACATTTGGTACAATATCCAATATAATTCGACCCAGCTGTCAATATAAAAACGAACGTCGACAACGTAGGCATTTAGAAAAATCTTCTTTATCGACGTCGATCAGGTTCCTTCACCTTAAGGTGAAGTGAAACACGTCGAGGAACTTGATCGACGTCGATAAACAAGATTCTTCTAAATGCCTACGTTGCCGACGTTCGTTTTTATATTGACAGTTGGGTCGAATTATATTGGGTATTGTACCAAATGGCATATTCCACCTGCCGTTNGATGTGTCAAAGTTTTGGACAGTTTGGCCTAATACCCTTAAGAAAAAGTGTTGTATTCGAATCGACTGATTTGAAGGATGTTTCTCTTCACCTTAATATTACCTCTCCGAATGTGACCGAGATTTATCTCTCATTTTATGTCGACAAACAGTGCGTAGATTTAGTGTTATACTTGGTGATTTGTATCGCGGCGCCAAAGCTCGTCCATTCATTTTTGGACCGGCGACTCGAGCCAAGAGTAGCTTCTATTTCGATCCACCAGAGAATGACGTTCGCGAAGATGCTTCCATACCGTCGATAGAACCTGGTGGGCCTCCAAATAAGGTGCTCCAAACAGGATATTCGTTTCGGTTCTGTGAATCGTCGGCGATCGTTTCGCACACCGGAATGTCCGGTTCCTCCGTATTTCCGGTGAACTGTCAACCGAAAAGCTTTAATATACAGAGAATGTTTGGGCTCCATGCGGCTGCCAAAAGGAAACAGCTCTCATCCTCTCTCTGAAATTGATTCACGGGTTGGGTACTCTCCAAGTTATTCTCCGCGACGTTATAACGTTAGTTGTGTACAACGCATCGTTGGTTACCTTAAAAATTGCCGTACAATTGGCGTATTAAAAATTATAATTAAACATTTTAAGGTGAAGTGAAACACGTCGAGGAACTTGATCGACGTCGATAAAGAAGATTTTTCTAAATGCCTACGTTGCCGACGTTCGTTTTTATATCGACAGCTATACCGAATTATATTGGGTATTGTACCAAATGGCATACTCCGCCTGTCGTTTTCGTACAATAATTCTCAAGAAATCGAAGTCAAACTCTAGAAATCCTCTGGATTCGTGCTTTCTGGGGCCCTAATTGACTGCGGAGGGACCCCCTGCGCCATCTGTGATTTCCAGGTCAATTAAATTTTCACTCCGAGACCTCGTGTTCCCATCGTTTTAGCATAGAAGCGCATACAACACTTTTTTTGCCTCTATCCCGTTCAAATGCGAGTTTATCGATTACCAGAGTGTTCTAAATTCTCGTAAAATTGTCCTGACCCTTTCGATTCTCATATCAGAGCCTTCGATAATTGTATATTGATCGAAATATGAGAGCTCGATGCCATTTTGGTTCTTGTCTGGACTGAGTAAAAAAATTTTGTTGAAAAATCCAAATTTTCAATGTGTCAGGACAATTCTTAGATGATCAAGAGTGACGTGTCAAAGTTTCGGACAGTTTGTTCTAATACCCTTAAAAAAAAGTGTATTCGAATCGACTGATTTGGAGAGGGTTTCACTTCACCTTAATTAATGAAAACTTTGTGCGCGACCGTGATCCCCGTGCTCCGGGAATGACAAATAACGAAACTGAAATTTATTAATTGACAAGATGATAACGTGCATGGTCGCTCAAAGATTTAGTTACTCCAAAAAAATGGGACTTTTGGGTCTACTTGTAGGCTTTACACCCTATTGCCTAGAACCTTCGGAGAATGACGGCCTTTTCTTTTTTACACAGTGGACAGATAGGAACTCGGATGTCAATACCCCTGTCGATTAGGCACGCGGAATCGGACACGCTTCCCGCTTCCGTCCCGTACTTATTTCCTGGCAGACTACAAATAGATCGTCGCGTAGGTGGACCCTTCGTAATCGCTGCTTCGCAACATCCGGAAAAAATTGCCCGCGGACGTTTCCTCTTGAAATATAGCAATTGCATTTTCCCTAACACACGTGATCGTTTGCCCCGAGGTTGATTTGCCACGTGTACGAGTTCGCCATCCTTCTTTATCGATTAACATCCTGCCGACATAATAATTTAGCGACACGTGAATCGCCCGGAAAAAGAATATGCCAACGTTACGCGGTTCGCTGACTGCGAAAGTACTCCCCCAAAAAAATATTACTAACTTCTCAAATCGCGATCTTAAGGTGAAGTAAAACACGTCGAGGAACTCTATCGACGTCGATAAAGAAGATCTTTCTAAATGTATACGTTGCCGACGTTCATTTTTATATCGACAGCTGGGTCGAATTATATTGGGTATTGTACCAAATGGCATACTCCACCTTTCGTTTTCGTACAATATCAAGAAATCAAAGTAAAACTACAGAAATCCTCTGGATTCGTGCTTTCTGTGGTCCTAACTGATTGCAGAGGGACACCCTGCGCCATCTGTGATTTCCAGGTCAATTAAATTTTCACGCCGATACCTC